CTCGACCAATGTTTGTCTTTTCCAGTGTTCTTAGCTCTATGATTTTTCATGTCAGGCACATTTTCTTTTTCTTGGTTGATTTTACGATCATATTTTCTGCACAATTATCATCTTCCTCTTGCGGGTTTTCCTTTTTCTCAAATCATGCGAGAATGATGTTATCTGTGCTCTTTTCTGCTTTCTTCTTCCAATCATTTTCTTTGATTTCAAATCTTAACTACAAAAGCATAATTTGGAAGAAAGCAATGGCTCTTGCTGCTACTTGACCTCAGCTCCAAATGGCTTTTCTTATAAAAAATTGCATTCATCGAAGACTTGCAAATGCTGATTGAGTGGCCTAATGATTGTAAATTTGACCGTAAAATGGACAAGTATCTTGTGGCTGAACTTGGCAGCAGATATTTGAATCTTTTAAATTAAGACATCAACTTGACAGAGTTTTGTTTTAGTTCAGTTTTCAAGTTACATGGAATATAGTTTGTTTAGTTTTGGTTGGCCTTTAATCCTTCTTTGCCTTCACATTATTATTCGCCTTCGCTGACTCAAACATTTGACCTTAATTTGACTTTTACTGATGCTATACACCAGCTTTTTTGAGTCCCTAATGTGCCATGTCGTTCAATTTATTTTATTTTTGCGAATCATAAAATTAAGATTAAACAAAGGGGAAATTACCATAGCTCAACTAGAAAACACTTAAAACAACATAGGATAATCATCAGTGGTCAATTCTTAGCATCTATAGAAATTGTCTATTTATTCATTCTCATGAGGCCTTCAGCAAGAAAGAGCATAAAGAACTCTGCCTTTCCATCCTTGCAGCATCCACTGGCTATCTTCATCCACCAGAAAATCCTTGTGGTAACCTCTCCGTACTTTAGCCTTGATTTCTTTGATGATATCATGGTTCAGTGGCAGCTGCCAGAATCCAGCCTTCTGATTNGATTCCGAGCTTGCCATTGCTTGTAAGTTTCTGGTCTCTCAACCTTTTCGAAACCTTCACATGCTATTACATTCATAACATCTTGTCCAAACACCTCAATTTCATACAGCAGACTTTCTTGATCTTCCTGGGGAATTGTTGCCTCAAGCATATAGAAAAAAGAAGAGTAATTGTATAGTGCTGCTTTGAATCGTGTTGAAAAGAATGGGACACTGAAGTTCCATTAACGATTCCATGGACGAAAAGATCAGGATTTATCTTCTTGATCAAGTTCAAAACTGAATCCCGTGGACTGTTTACTCCTACGGATTCATCAGGCAGATGTCTTAGCCTGTACAGACAATTAACCACCAGCATTTGATTTCTGTCGATCTTGAGATCCTCTAGCCTAATCGTATCCCATTTCTTTACTATGGCTCCCTTGGCCTTTGGAGAGGAGAAGGCAGCCTTTTTATTTCTCATCAAATGAATAGCAATTTCTTCATGTGGGTGACCGATGGCGAAGTAGTACTGTGAGGGAAGGGTGAAAACAACTCCCATCGGGGAGTGAAATGGAATATGAAAAAAAAAATGAGAATTTACCCCAAGTAATTGAGCGTGAGAGCCAAATGAATCGAAAGATTCATGTTTGGTTCGGGACAGCGATTCAAAGATTGGGGTCTCACTCTATTTCCTTGCCAGCCCTAATAGCATTCATAGTCAAAGATTCGTCGAGCCGATAGTTCTCGCTCCACTTTTTTCAGCTTAGTTACTCGTTCCTAAGAGCGGAAAAAGAGATGTATTAGCTTTTCCTTTATAAAATACATACTCTTAAAATAGAAAATAAGACTATTCGCAACGGAATCACTTTGTTTCGATGACAAATCTAATTAGACCGAATAGGATTTGAAGAGCTGTCACGATCATTCACATAAATTTCAGCAGGCAGGAAGGGCACGAAAGCTACCCTTTGATGAATGCAAGCAAGCTAGCTTGCTTACTCTCCTATTAGCGTATGTTGGCGGCAAAAAACAAAGACGACTATACTAAACTAAAGTAAAGATATAGGTTTAGGAAGCTTCCCAGAGTCAGTAGACCATGTCGGAGTAGGGGAAGAGTTAGCTGATTGGACGAAACGGAAGATATTGTCGATAAATTGAAGTACGTCTGCATATCTTACCCAGATCTTCTTCCATAATGGTACGAAACAATAGTCTCATTGGAGTAGATACACAAATTACTTTAAATGTAAGAAGCCAAGTAGGCGGGTTTGTCTGAGTGGAGAGGGAAAAAAAAAATAAACTTATAATCTTTTCTAGAGATATCCATTTCTTCTTTTGGTCGTTTCCAAGTCTTGTGACTGTCAGTTACTCGGAAAGGAAAGTAGGCCCACAGAATCGCGCTTCGCAAAAGATGGGTAGATAAATGAAAATAAAAATGCATATAGAACAAACAAATAATACTCAATCATCAATTTACCCTTAAGAAAAATAATCCCCTTTATTTCTTTTTTTGGTAATGTAACGAATAAAAGTCTATGTAAGTAAAATATGACTAAAAAAGGTAGTAGTAATTAAAAAGAACTCAAAGGGAACATTAAATCTCTGACAGTATTTCTGTAGTCAACGTCCTGTCTGCTCAACTCGTTCCGCTGGCTTGAAACCCGACTGAGGAAAATCTATTCCTGTAATGCGAAGTATGGGAGCTCCCCCTGGTTTCAAGGAAATGCTCTGGATAATGCGAGGCCATCCTTTTGAATGGGCATGCTGCGACATATGTCTAATACACTTTCAGTAGAGAGGAAATACACGGAATTGACTTTTGGACTGTAGCAAATTTTAACATTAGCCTTTGACCCATTAAATAAATTAAAAAAAATTAAGTTAAAACATAACTTTACACTAAAAGGGCGATTTTACCCTTCAAGGCTACGGACTGTTTGAAAGTTTCCTCTCTAACCGACCGACCCAAAAAAAATCGACGCCACAGTTGCCAGAAAAATCGGTCGATCAACCACCGGCCGAAACCACCAACATCATAGTGATTTCAATTGACGACCAGAAGCACGTATCTACCACCGGGCGAACTATTTCGGTTAGTTTTCTCCCAGGAAGTTGTATTTTTTGTTCCAATTTTCATTAATTGAATTATTTTATGTTTATTTGGTTTAATTAGATGAAGATGCATGAGTAGTTAGATTGTGGGTAATGTTGGGATGAAAAATGTGAATTTTTTGTAATTTTTGGACCTCTCCATCGTCGACAATGGTGATTTCCGACGAGAGAGATAGTAAAAGACAGTGACTATTAACAGTTGGATCGATTCGACTGTTAACAGTCAAACCATGGACTGTGGACAGTCTGGACCGATTGTTAACCGTCAGCAATTTTGTTAAAAAATAATAATAATAAATAAAAAATAATATATATATATATATATATATATATATAGATATAATTTTTATTTGTTTTTTTATCAATTTTTATAATAATTTATTTCTGTATTTAATTAAATAGTAATTGTGTTATTTATTTAATTTTTATAATTGTCTTTTATTTATATAATTTAATAATTGAATATTATATAAAATTAACAATTTATTTTGTTCATTTTATTTTTGTTTTTATGAAATAATCTTTGATTTTTTTTCGAATTTATTTAAATAATATAAATATTCTTTAAATTTTTTAAAAATGTATTTAATTTGAATTTTTTTGTTTTTAAATTTATTTTCCGAATGATTACAAGATTAATTTTCTTTATAATTAATTTATTTTAATTTAATTAAATAATAATTATGTTATTTATTTATTTAATTTTTATAATTGCCTTTTTTATATAATTTAATAATTGAATAGATAATATTGTCTTAAATTAACAATTTATTTTGTTCCTTTTATTTTTCTTTTATGAAATAATCTTTGATTTTTTTCTAATTTATTTAAATAATATTTATATTCTTTAATTTTTTTAAAAATGTATTTAATTTGAATTTTTTTTGTAAATATATTTTCCAAATGTAATATACAAGATTAATTTTCTTTATAACTAAATTATTTTAATTTTTAAATTTGTAATGAATTTATTTTGTTATTAACGTCAATGTCTTGCGTATTGTATGGTAGTTAGAACTCAGTTGCCTTGATTTTTTGAGATTATGCGTTATTTTATTATCTCTTGTTCAATGTTCTAACATTTGAATTTTTGTAGGATGGAGTATCATTTAGATGGGGAATTGAAACGGATGGCGGGAAAAGCTACTTGGAACGGTAGCTTTGAGAGTTTTATTGTTGTGTTGGAGCTGCTTGATGATCATCACGGAGATATGCTACGACAGTCCTTCTTGTGGTCACTGTACGAGATGCGAGAGGTGCAGTACTCAGGACAGATCATCGATGCACTTCTATGTCGGCTTCTGAGGCCAGGAGACAGCGATTCCCTCCACTTCAACCTCGGGGGCAAGGTCGTCAGTTTCTCGATGTATGAGTTTAGCTTAATCACTGGACTGTGGATTATGGGCAACGATGCAGCCATTGAGAGAAGTAATAGGCTATGCGAGACGTACTTCCAGGGACATGGGTCGATGCATCTACCCGAGTTGATGGTCGCGATTAGGGGGTGCGACCAGATGCTAGATAGATTGAAATTTGGGCTGGTCTACATCCTCGAGAGTGTGATGAGGTGTCATCACAAGAAAATTGCTATCGACATTTTTCATTTAGAAGTTGGTGACGACATCGATGCGTTCAACAACGATCCATGGGACCGGAGATGCTACGAAGATACCGTCTTCACCAGATCACACTCGAGGTTCAGGGATTCAATGCGTGAATACAAAACATATGGATTGCCCTTAGCGGTGCAGGTAAATGTTTAATATAATTAAAGTTAAAGTTTTAGTATATTACATTTATGCATAATAAGTGTATGTGTTGCAGATTTGAGTGTATAAGACAATCCCTGCACTGGGGGCCCGCTTCGCGAAGCGAGGGGAGACACGCCCTCGAATGCATCATTGGAGATCGTCATGAGCGGACGGATGTCCCACTGGAAAACAGTTATCGGCCCTTTTCGACGATCCTCAGGTAAGTATTATGCATTTGTAATTTATATTATACGTAGTTTAAAATCTGTTTACATGATCGTTAACTAGTTGAAATGTCAATATGTCAACTTGAAGTCATACCTGAGTTGACACCGTCGATGGAAGAGGAGGCTCGGAGTTTTGTGTGGGATTTAGGTGTTCCGCACACCGAAAACGAGGAGATGTCTGATCCGAGCCTGGACCGAGATTGGATATTTGAATTAAATATAATTTATTGAATATCGTTGACGTATAAATTTATTGAATAATTTTTAATGTTATTTATGTAGGAGGGCGGTCCAACTGATCGACGATCACCTCCGCTGAGGGTATCGCCGCCACCATTGGCATCGCCTCCGCCGAGGGAATCGCCGTCGCCATTGGCATCACGATCATCGAGGGTATCTCCTTCTCCCTCGTCCAGACACGTCCCCCATGTATATCCGACACACAGTGATGATTTGTATGTCCGTCTGACTGGATTTAAGCGGAGGAGGTCGGCGCTCTACGACGAGAGTTGACGGAGATGGTCGATGATCTAGGACGAGAGTTGATAAGGAGGGTTGACGATATGGGACGAGAGTTGACGGGGAGGGTTGACGATCTATCTCATGATGTTGGAATGCTCCGGTCTTGCGTTGTCGACCTTTAGGATACGATAGCGGCACTTAGAGGATATTTAGCCGGTAGGTGATAGAGGGACAGAGGGGATGGTGGAGATGATGATTGAGAGGGTGGCAGGGATGATGATGGAGAGGGGGTTTACCCACATTTTTGGCATGATGAGACATTATAATCATTGTGGTTGTCTATGGAGGGGGAGAGGGTGGCCCCGATGGGAGGCGCGGGGAGGTGGCAGCGGAGGGGAAGACTCCGATGGGAGGGGCGGATGAGGTGGCGACGGAGGAGGTGGCTTCGGAGGTCGAGAGGACGCCCATCGTGATTGAGGGTAAAAGACATGTTGATGAGACGGAGCAGGTGGTCGACAAGAGGTTGAGAGTGCCGTCATAGTATGTTGTTTCCCCTTTCACGGCTGAGGCCAAGAGGAAACGTTCATCGATGGGACGCACCCGAACTTATTCGGGGAGGTGGACAACACCAAGTGGAAAGTGTTCGAGACGGAGTGGAGGAGAATTATCCCCGGGTAAATATTGTACACTGACTTGTCTATGTTTGTTTTAACATTTCCATGTTCTTTCAGAGTTAGCCACACGATAGGTAACCGGACGGTCTCGGACCCGTACAAGTGGTTCCACGATATCACCATTTCGGGAGCTTGGCTTATCGATGATGTAAGTGAACTATTCATTGTGTTTTTTATGTATACGTCACTTTGTGTTTATTAAATGAACAACTCATACTTTTTTGGTGTTTTTTGATGCAGCACATCGACCTAGCCATGGATTTGCTGCAAGATCGAGCTCAAAGACATCCAAAATCATTTGACGTCCATCGTCGAGTCATATTAAACACCGAGTTCCTGCGTGTCGTTACCATAGAGTATCAGTCGCTCCAACTCATGGGTAACGAGTATACGGTGTCAGAATATATGCTCGAGTGGGTTATAGGAATGTCGCCGAGTGTCGGGGGAAAATCATGGGAGGATTGTACACTTATGTACATTGCAGCGTGCATCGATAAGCACTATGTTACGCTGGAGATCGTTTTTTGCTGACACGACTATATATGTGTACGACCCAAATCATTCATATTTGATACAAGGCTAGCTGGAGCAAAACTTGGAGTCCGTAGCTGTAATTGTTCCTATGATGGCCAGATGAGCGGGGATGATTGTACAGAGCATATTGCGAATTGTTCGGAACACGACGACAGCGCGACATTCCATAAGATAAGTGTTTGAACTTTATTGTTTTCATCTTTCAGATTTAGTTTTTTAGCTACACAGTACCGAACTGATCCATTCTTGTTCAATTGTAGCTGCGACTGCAGCATATTTGCTATTAAGTACGTTGAATTTTTAAATATAGGATATAAAGTTGATGAAATCAACCAATCGTGAATACAGAATTGGAGAAAGGAGCTAGCTTGTGATTTGTTCGAATTTAATGTAACCCGTAAATTTGTATTAAATATATGTAACATTCGAATTGTAGATTTAATTATTTTTTGTGATTATGAAATAATTGTAAATTTGTAGTCAATGTATATAACATTCACATTGAAATTTTAATTAATTTTTCATAAGTTGATTTTTTGTTATTTTACACATATACCGAGTATGGAACTATTTTTTTCATATGAATCATTATAAATACCATTTATCAAGAATGAATATTGAACATTGAACATTTATGAAGAACAAATATTAAACAGTGTAAAGTAAACGAAAATATTATTTATTTAATATACCCGTCTAATTGTCATTTAGAGGAATTTGACTGGTACAAAATTTTCGAGTCCTATGGCTTTGCACTTGCCACACCTACAAGGTCGAGGAAACTTTTCGGTAGATGGTATTCTAGATGTACTTGGACGTTCAGGATCACGCGGTTCAACTGCTGGTGGTAACAAATTATGAAATGTGAGAATGTGCTCGTGAACTTCTCACTCGACTTCATTTGGTAGAGGAAATATAGTCTCAGTATATGCTCTTTTCAAAGACGCAGTTGTATAATACAAAGAGCATAACGTTCTCGCTGCAAAGCCTTGATACATGGCCACCGCAACTGCATGCTCATATGGAAAACTCTTCAACTAAAATTTCGTACAAGTGCATGTGTTATCAGTCAAGTTCACCATATATGCCGTATTACGTGCATATTGCATGGAGAAGCGGAACTCATCTAGTACTTCCACATTTAACTTCCTCGCAACCTCTGCCGCCTCAAAGAGTTTCTTCTCTTGAGTTGGGACCAACATGCTAGTGCAACTCTATGATGCCGCACGTCGATCATGAAACCACTGTTGCAGCTTGTTACGAATGTTCTCAATCATTGCGAGAATTGGTAACTCTCGATCCTTCTTAAACAATGCATTGAGAGACTCCGCGTTATTCGATGTTATCATGTTGTATCGACGTCCTGAAAAGTATGACCGCGCCCAATGTTCAATCCCCATGTTCGTCAGATACTCCAACGTCGATAATGATTTACTTCCTATCTCGAACATAAACTTATTACACTCTTCAGCACTGTAAGCTTCGACTGCTCTCTTGAACAATGAAACGATGCCTTTGCCTCGATACCTAGTCTTCAAATTACCTTGTATATGGTACATGCAATACCCGTGATGTGCATCGGGAAAAACTTCAGTGATACCATTTATTATAGACTGTACCCGATCGATTATAAAGGCAAGGTCTTTGACTTCCCCAATCACTTCCCTCAGTTTAGAAAAGAACTAACGCATGGACAGATTATTCTCGCTGTCGACTATGCCGAATACAATAGGGTAAATTTGGATGTTAGCGTCTTGATATATAGCAATAATTAATTTGCCTTGATATTTAGCTTTCAGAGTTGTACCATCAACTAGAATTACGGGTCGCATTGTATTTTGAAAACCCCGAATACATTGTCCGAAAGCCATGAAGAAATACTTAAAATAATTATCGCCCCCGTCTCAATAAAAAATGTCGTGTCAAGATTAGTTGTCCCTATGTTATGGTAATACCTGGCCAATTTAGCATAGCTCTCCTCAGCGGATCCCATTAAGTCCTTCAACGCACATTCTTTGACTTTCCAAGCTTTCTGGTAGCTTATGACCACTCTATACTCTCGATGGATGTCGTTAATGATGTACGAATGTCTGTAGATCGTCAGTAGATCCTGATACTTGTGCATTATCTGTCAACCAATAAATCATGCTCGAGCTTGCCTGTGATCATTTCGACAAATTCTCACTTCGCAAGTATGTTCCAGTGCATATTTGCGAACTACAAAGCACTCATTCGTGTCCATCTTAGTCACTCTAAAGCGACAATTGCAATTGTTGTCAATGTAGGCAATTGTCAACAATGACTTGGTTGATTTCTTTACCTAGAACTCAAAGTTATATTTTAATGTCATCCGGTGCACAGCTTTCTGCAAATCTTTCTTGGTTTTAAATAGTTGCTCGACATACAGATCTTCATCATCGGGAGTCACATGCGAAGAATTGGAGGACGATCCACTTGTTCCACCCCCTGTGCTATCACCCCGCTCTTAAATTTTCATTTGTAAAATCATTTATATTTTCATTGTCCTCAGCTGTTGACGGAATTCTGTGCGTAACAGTGACTTCACGATCAGTAGCAACTGTCTTGGGAATAACCACATCATTTGCAGGAACTATCTCCACTCTCTCCCAAAAATCTCGGTCATTATTATCTGCTCCATCTGAATCTTAGCGTTCACCTTCGACAACATCTTTCTTAACTAAAGTCACACCAAGAACGGTCGGAGTCCTATGTATTTTATCCAATTCTAATAGATAATTCAATTCAGTATCATTAGTAACAAATATAGGTGGCATCAGAATGGACGAATCCCCATAACCATTGAATAAATATCTCAGTTGCATATCGTGCTGAAAAGAATCAACATTCAACTTATTTTGCAAATTCTGGTACACTTCCGCATATGATGTACTCTCTGTTACGGAAATCGCAATACAACTACATACATCACTCATCCATCTCCATTCCCATCTATTATTTTCATTCAGTGGGAAATCACCGAAATAACATACCGGGATTATCATATCTGCATGACGATATAGAATTTTTAAATCAATTACAACAACAAAAATTCAAATATTTTTAATCAACTTGTAATTAAAATTATAAGATAATTGTCAAAACAGAAATTAATAATAAAAAAAATACGCAAAACAGTCCAGAAAAATAGCCGACTGTGGACTATTTTACAGCCGACAGTCGGCTGTTTAGGCGACTGTTAGACATGCCAGTCGGCTGTCTGCTGTCTAACAGTTTTCGTTACCATCCCACAGTTAATCGTTGAACTGTTTATTTTGTGTATGACTTTTTATTTTTCTATAGTTCTAAATAAATAAATTACAGATCTGTTAAAAAAATTCTACTAACTATTATGTTATTTAACTACTCAAACGTATACTAGTTTACTGAAATTAAAATTAAGTATGTGTAAAAATATACTTACCGATTTGAAGTAATTAATCTGAAAAAACTTCTGGTTTCGACATTTGAAGTTTTTTGATATTTTGAGGTTCAAGCAGATAAAAATGAGAGTTTTCTGTGTTTGAAGCTCATTTTGCAGTTTTATAAGTGGGAAAGTATTGATTTTCAATTATTAACTAAAAGTGTAATAATGTCTTTTAAACTATTCAATATTTTGTAATTACATAATATATTTAAGGGCATCTCTGTCTTTTACCATTCAAGAGGTTAATGTGATAATATTCAAGTTTTTAAAAGTCAAAGTGGAAATAAAGACCTTTGACTGGGTCAATTTTAAAAGTACCCCTTCAGTAGATCTACAGCCGGGATTTTCCTAGACAAAAAATCCATGTACAGTGATGGTCCGGTGCCTGTAAATCGTGCCTCAAGGGCATCAGCAAAGTAATGTGCCAGTCTTTCGGTTGCATCGCCACAAGGAGAAGAGTATTGCTTAATTTGCCTTAGAAGTTCGTGGCCCATCGTGGTATTATAGTTTGTCATTGCTTGAGCACTTCGATTTAATAGACTCCTCAAATCAATCACTTCTTTTATGTTGCCTTGTTTCTTACTAGCCCGTGGCCTTCCTCATTTCGCCTCTGTCATTTTTCTATAATTCAACGTGTTTTCTAATGATTCATCATCATCAGAAGGCTGACCGTAGAAATCAGGGTTCATGTTAGGACAAAGTATTGCCTTATCGTACTTCTCTAAGTGCTCAGATTCTACGTATCTTGCTACCATCTTACTATTACGTCCTTGTACACAATCCTCATTCTCTCGAGAATTATCTTTCGTACTTTCGGAGTCAATCTTCCGGACAACTTCCTCCATCAGTACTGGCCAATACTTGCAGGTCATGATTGACAAAGTTATTTTGGAGTAAGTTGGTTACATCCTTGGCAATTCTCCTGGACTGGTAAATTTCTTGGCTTTCATTAATAGCAGTAGATTTGAAAACTTGACTCAATTAATTGACAATTTGTAGAACCCCAAATAATTCTAGACACCTTAATGGCACTAAAACATGAATATTGAATGATTAAAGTATACTTCAGATTTTTAGTTTCATTTGAGATCCATTTTCGAGATAGGAAACATTCGATTTGGAAAATGATATCTAAATAAAAGTTGTAGTTCTTTGAGTTAGCTTTCCAACGCACTTTGAATTACTTCAATCGGATATCGGGAGAAGAAGTTATGATAGAAACACTGAAAGCTGTGCAGTGTCAACCGGACTATAACCGGTCGATCGAAACTGTCTGAAATGAAAATTTTCGTTTTTCTCTAGAATTTAAATATTTATTTTCATCAATTATTTTCTCAAAGGGCCACCCACGTTTTTGGCAATAAAAACCCCACTAAATTGAAGCATTTAACCTCAAACTTAAATGGCACCATGTTTTCTCTCTTAAATGAAATTTGACCCTTCATTTGCTTTAAGTTATGAGATATTTACCTATAAATAGAGACATCATTTCACTCATTTTGTTTCACACCAAAAGCAAGAGCTTTTATATACTAAAGAAAGAGTTTTCAAGAGAGAAAAAGGGAGGGAGGAAACTATTTTTCCTAGAAATTTAAGAAGCGTTTTCAAGCATCAATTCTCAACGGTTTTCAAATATCCAAGTTTTATCGAAGTTTTCAATCCAAGTTCTCAAAATTTCAAAAGCATCAATCAAGGTAGGTAGAGGTGCAAAGTGTTAATTAGTGTTAAGTTATAAGTTTCTAGCAAATGAAGATTTATGTGAATATTTGTATGTCTAATGGTACCTCTGATACGGCATACACCTCCATGTCTAATGGTACCTCCGGGTACGGCATGTACTTCCGGTCGAGGCGTCGTGTTAAGTCATGACTCTACGTGTTCGGGATTCTATCGAAAATCCTACTCTGAAAAGGTTTCTAAAGTTATAATTTTGAAATGTATAGCTTGATCACGAATGCACCAATGATATCTATTGAGTTTTTTTAACTCACGGGTTT